TAAGCCAGAGTAATTGGGCAAGTGAACGATAAAGAAGTTCAGATTAGAAAGTAAGACTAATTCCTGTGTGTATATTTTGGGGAAGGGGACGGAGACATAGACTGACATCGACTTATATGTAAAAATTCCCAAAACCTGTGAGCAAATTTAGAAAAGTAACATACAAAGTCAGCATACAAAAATCAATACATTTCCCCAAAAGAGCGAAGTATCTTCATTTATAAAGCACAAAAATTTAACATAGGAGGCAAAAGTTATGGACACTGAAAATGTAAAACACAGATGAAAGGGTCTGAAGAAAAACGAAGTTGATGGACAAGAGAATAATATTCAAATGCCCACACTATCAGCAATTATCTACAAAGTCAACTAAAGTCCCAATAAAATTCTAAATTTATGTCTGTGATCTGGAAATTAAAATGCCTACACTCTCTGCAACTGTCTAGAGCCAACACAAATCCTGCCAAAATTCTAAAGGAAATTTTCCTGGAAGTAGAAATTTCTAAAATTTAAGTAGGACCATAAAAGGCCTTTCTTGAATTTCCAAAACAGCCTTGATCTCAAGAACAAAGATGGGAGTATAAAACTACCTAATTTTGATATATAATACTGATCTGTAGCAATCGAAATTGCAATGTAATAATGTAGGTAGAACAAATGATTAAATATGGTGCTTGTAAAGAAACGAATCCATTTATAGTCAGTAGAATGCACAGCTTTCTAGAATCTTTGGGATAGAACTAAAGACAATCTAAGGAGAAACCCATAACTATGAATGCTTGGATTAAAACATCGAGATTACCTCAAATTAACAATCCAATGATGTGCCTCAAGATCTTAGAAAAACAACAATTCAAACTCCAAGAGCAATAGATGCCAAGAAATAATAATAAAATGGAAACTAAATGAATGATGTATGGAATCAACTGAAAAACCTATAGCCAAACTAACAAAAAGAAAGCAAGAAAGACTATCCAAATTACTAAAACTGGAGATGAAAGAGATTACTATAGGTTACAATAATGTCTCAAGAATAATTGGTGAACTTTAAAAATTTACATTCCAAGATATATTCCTGATATAAGACCTACCAAAATCAAATCAAGGAGACGCAAATGTTTTAAACAGAACCATGACAACCTCATTAGATTGAAGCAGCAATAAAAAGTCTCTCTACAAAAGTGCAGGATTCACTGCAGAATTCTATCAAACCTTTAAGAGAGAGCTAATACCAATGTTTTCTTGAATTGTTTAATAAAATAAAGAAAAAACACAGCCAAGCTCATCCACAAAGCCAGATTTGCACAAAGACACATCAACACGAAGAAGGAAATTGTAAATCAATTTCCCTGGAGAGAAAAGACTCAAAATTTCTTAATAAAGTAGGTAAAATGAATTTAAAAACACATTAAGATGGCATTCAAAACAAGCTGGTTTCATTCCATGGAAGCAAGTTTGGTTCAATATATGCAAATTAATATGTATAATATAATGTGTAGGACTGTGTTCATATCTTTAAGAAGGAAACTCACATTACTTTAATGCCTGCAGAAAAAAAAAATCCTTTTATATATTTCAGTTTCCCTCCACAATAAAGCCTTGATTGAAAGAGAGATAGAAAGAGCCTATCTTAACATAGCAAAGGTTACAAATGAAAAACAAATAAAAACAAAACAAAACAAAAAAAACCCATAGGTAACTGAATATGGAAGAAGCCTTTAGTCTTCTAAAATATGGTATGAAAGAAGAGTGTCTATTCTCTCAACTGTTGCTCAATATAGTGTTCAGAATTTTAACTAGGGCAATAATATCAAGATATAGAAGGGATAAAAATAGGGAAAGAAGAAATCAAAATATTCCTATCCTATTTCCCCCAGAAGTTTTCGAACTGATAAATACTTTTAACAAACTAGTAAAGGACAAAAATTAATATTGAAAACAGTAGCTTTTCTACATACCTGCAGTGAACTTGAAAAAAAAATCAGAAAAATCACATTCACAATAGCTTTTTAAAAACCTTTTAAATAAAAATCTAAAATATAAACCTTCTGGATAAACTTAACCAAGGAAGCGTAAGACTTCCAAATGAAAAGTTGAAACAGTGAAGAAAGAACTTGAAGACATTAGAAGATGGAAAACTCTCCAAGGCTCATGAGTTAGCAAAATTAATGTTGTGCAAACAATCATATTAACCAAAAGTGAAATGCCCTTTAATATCTTAGTGATAGTCTTCAATGAATTATAAAACCACTGTGAATCCTTATGCAAGCCCAAGACCTTGAATAGCAAGAGCAATTTTTATGCAAAAGAGCAATGCTAGAGACATCTCAATAGTATCTCAAATTGTATTACTGAGCCTTAGTAACAAAAATCCACGTGTCACAGGCACAAAAAAAACAGATTCATAGATCAGTGGAACAAAATAGAAGAACACAGCCAGACCCTAGTATGACTATCTAATTTTTTGACAAAAACACTGGAGAGAGGACAGTCTCTTTAACAGAGGGTACTGGGAAAATTAGATTTCCATATGTAGATGGATGAAACTAGGTCCACATTTCTCACCCAGCACCAAAATCAATTTTAAAAAATAGTCAAAGACCTTAGTGTGAGATCATAAACCTTGACAACTTCTAAAGGAAAACACACATGAAAATTTAAGAGGCCAAAATAGGAAGATCCCAAGTCAGCTCTGGCTCAATTCCTCCCAGTCCTGTGTCCTAAGTAAATGATGTTTTCGAGAATAGTGCCTTGGTTTCAAGTTCTAAGGAACAACAATGGGCGCAAATAGCTTGTACTGTGTTTGAAGTCTCTTGGTCTGCCCTGATCAACAGTTTCAAGGGAAGCTTCACATGCCTGATACTAGGGTTTTTCTTAAATAGTGTGTGGCCTTGGGGGGGGGCATTATAACTCCAAGTGGTGTAACTTCATTTAAATTATTTATATATGCCTATATGTACACTATATTTTTAAGTAAGCAGAAAAAGTCAACCTTAATTTCTTTATACCCCTTCCTCTCTTTCCCTCTGTTTTGCCTTCTTCTCCACTCCCCAGCTAAGAGCCCTCCTGTTTTGCCTATGTTCCCCTTCAAAGAATCTATACCTTACAGTGCCCCTCATCCCAGGTTCCCTTACCATGGTCCTTTTTTTACTTTCCCTGTTTCTGTGGCAGTACACACCACCTAAATAAGGCCTGTACAATGACAACAATAGTTGACAGGCCAGTGTGGATGGGGGACATCTCATGGGGCCTCTGCTCAAGATGAAGTCAATTATTAATGGCTGCTAAGAGAAGGAGAATCAGTCTTCTCCAGGGCTGAGCCCCATGATTGGTTACCCAATCTCAAGTGTTCAGCCCTAAACATGTACCATTAAATAGACTTAGTGGGCTCTATTTACATACGCTTGTATATAAATGTAATAATAATAATTAAAGAGGAGGTCATGAGTGTGAGAGAGTGGAGGAGCATGGAAGGAGTTGGAGTGAGGTAGAGATGTACTTAAAATCCCAGAATGGTCCAGAAAGGCCTTAAAGGCAATGGCAGTAATCCAAAGAACTGACAAGTGGGACTCTATGAAACTGAAAAGCTTCTGCATATTTCAAGGAAGAAAAAACTATAGTGTGAAAAGTCAGCTTACTTCTGAATGGCAAAAATGTAACTATACCAGATGAAGGGCCAATACCCAGAATATATAAAATTAGACACCAAAACTGAAAATTAGCCCTTATTTTTTTTTTTCCTCTCCATTGCATCACCCATAAAAATCACATGAGGGAAGAGGAATGGGAGCCTTTGGAGTATCTTATGAATGCACTAACCTCATTTACAAAGGCTTTGTCTCTGTGGCCTGATCTGTAGAGGGCACGGGGTTCTTGTGCTCACAGATAAGGACTAGGGAAACCGGAAATGTTAAACACATGGGATTGTTTCCTTCCCAGAAGACTGGGAATGGGTGTGATCAATAGCCAGGTGACCTCTGCACTATGTATTGCAGGTCACATCTGGCTCCCTCAGACTCTTAAGTTCCTTTCAGTCATTCTCCCTAAATCCTTATCATGAGCATTGCGTCTCAGCCAATAGAATCCATCTTTAAGGGACATGTTACATGTGGAAGTCGAGGTGACTGATCACCTGGTGATGTTGACACTATCTTTATGACAGAGACCACACCAGATCCTCCCGCAGACCCTTAAGATGTCATATAGTCAGTCCACAGAGCTCATCTCTTTGGAAGCAGTCACATGTCCTCTGCAATTAATCATGTATTGAGCTTTGTTGTACACATGGGATTGAGTTAACTGTCACCAGGAAACCTTTCCCCCCAAATTGTATTGTGCTCAAATACTCCTAAAATAAACTGCCCTGTGTCAGTCTCTCAAAGTTTGAATTGGTACTGGCTACTGAGTTGTGTTGAACCAGACTTTCTCCTTGCTGCATGTGGATTGTTGCTCTGCTAGCTGTGGTGTTTGCAGAGACCCCCACACTAATCTCCTTTCTAAGCTCCCCTCCCAATATCAGAACACAGGGCTTTAGAATCTCAGCATAAATTTGGGGTGACATAAACACATTCAGTGGTGAACAAGCAAGTTATAAGGTGGACATACAAAAAATTACAATTCTTCACAAACGTCATTAGTATTATTTCTAAACCTGAAAATGAGTGTCAGATGTTGTTAGAAAAGTCAAATTTGTGGGTGTTTATAACTGCTTTGAATATGAATATTTTTATGTGTTGTTGCCTGCATGTATCGCCATGTACCCTGTGTGTGCAGTGCCTGTGGAGTCTAGAAGGGGCAACTGCTCCTCTGGAAATGGAGTTACAGACAGTTATGAGGCACCATGTGGGGCCTTCCTCTGCAAGAGCAACAGGTGCTCTTAACTACTGAGCCATCTCACTGGCCTCCACAGTTGTTTTGCATATTCTTGTACCATACATTCATTCAGTTGAATGTTCCGTATTGGCTTTTTAATATTATTCTTAGTGTTTTGTTTCCCACAGACATGGAGCCATTGTCATCTCGGGAACTGAAATGGCTAAACAAATCCAAAAGGAAATACAGCAAGGCGTGGAATCTTGGATTGCTCTTGGGAACAGGAGGCCCCACCTCAGTATCATTTTAGTGGGAGATAACCCAGCAAGCCATACCTACGTCAGGAATAAGATAAAGGCTGCTTCTGCTGTAGGTGGGTATGGGTGTGAGCTCTAATTGTTACTAAACGTTTCTGTTGTCATATAAAGGTACATAATCATGATGTATAATTATCAAATAACACATGTTATTGTTATTAATAGAGATTATTCCATTATGCAAGCTTATATGGATGCCTTACTGTTTCTTAGAGAATTATTTCAGTGTGATTTCATATTTTGTGGGTAAAGCAATAGGACTCTTTGCTTTTAAAGACCCTGTGTTTATTGCATTTGCTTTAACTGAATCATAAACCTCACTGCTTTCTGGTCTGGTCTTCAAATCTAAGACGGGTTTTCACAAGTCAGTGCAAGTTGTCCCCTCGAGTAGCAGCCAAATGATGCATAGGAATCAGGAGACTGAGAAACCGCTCCTCCCCGTGGTTACAACACTGACCCTCTAGAAGGGCTTTCCTTCTAGCGGGACAGGATCAGAAGAGATCAGACACACACTGGAGAAGCCAGCTGCTACAGCATATTCAAGCTACCTTCTTGCTTGCCTTTCTTCCAGGTATCTGCAGTGAACTCATTCTAAAGCCAGAGAACATTTCTCAAGAGGAGCTTTTGGATATCACTGATCAGCTGAACATGGACCCAAGAGTCAGTGGCATACTAGTTCAGCTACCCCTCCCAGGTACGTGATGCTTTTTTGTGTATCTGGGTTGGGCAGGAGAAAGGGCACATCATGGCCTTGGAGGCAACTTATAAAACACATTCGGAAGAGTACTGGCTGTGATCTTAGTGTTTACAGTTTCTTAAAGATTTATATTTACAAGAGGAAAGAAAAACTGTGGCTAGAAAATTTAGGTGCGGGCAAGAGCTATCTCTCTGTTCACTCGGGCACAACCACAGCTGATAGCAAGCTGAAAGCAGGCGTTGCTCCCAACAAACAATGAGGAAAATTTTTATGTGACTCTTGAAAATTTTGTTCAGGTACTAAAAGCTATCTTATTGCGGTTTGTAAACATACACTGACATAAAAAGTAGTGTAACTAATATTTATTCACAATATTGTCTTTAAAAACATTAAACAGAAGAGTTGCAGTATCTGGTTTTGTTTGCTTTATTTTTTTTAAACAAGATCATGTCAAGAGTGGCTAGCATGCTGGTCACAAGCTCAATGTGCCATTCATGTGGAGCAAACAATTAATCTGCTGTTTTCCTTTCTAAGCAGTTTATCTTTTATTTGTACATTCAACATCATGGATACTCATTAGAGTCCCTTTATGTGAAGTTTTAGCAGGTGTAGCAGCTTCCTTTGGGATTCTGTCTTGCTTTCCATCATGGCCCAGTCCCTTATTTCTTCTGACTCTCAGTTCCCCATTGTATAGCTACAGCTCTTCATGAGATGTCCTGTTAAAATCCCAGTCAGTTTACATGTCTCCATTTGAATCCAGGTCGAACCCTATTGTAATGACTTCTTATTCTTATGTATGTCAGGATTTTACAACATAATTCTTACCGGCTTCAAGCTGGCATAGGCATCTCCTGCCTCTTATTGCTGTTCTCTGTTTTCCTGATCTACTCACAGACATTATCTCTTGTTTCTTTGCCTTTCATATTTATAGGCTAATCCTCTTTGTCTATTGTATACTTGTATAATATCATGTGAGTGCAAGTCTTGGGATACATGAAAGGACACCCTTTATGCCTATATTTGAATTGAATGAGAAATGTCAGTTCCCAATCAGGTCTTTGGAAGAAATACATGATTGGCCAATGATAATATGCTCAACTGCTACCTGGCTCATATGTCTTGGATGGGACACCCCAAACAAAGCAAGAATAGTGGGAAAATATCAAATTGAAAAACAGATCCACAGTAAAGAAATCATCAACTTCTTTACTTGGTTGAAGAGATATTATTGTATAATCAGAGAAAATGGTTGTGAACCATGCATGTAACAACACATGAATATTCAAACTACAGACATACTTATAGCAAGAAAACAACCTTCGTAAGCATGTGTAAAGGAAATGCATGTGAAATAAACCACATGCCAAGATAAACATTGAACTACACTACTAATGCGTGGGCTCTAAACCATGGCAAACTAGACCAAGCCTGCTGTACTAGGGATTTAGAGGCAGGGTCAGGACTCTTTGGCTACACAGTGTGAGTTCAAGGCTATCCCAGTCTACATGAAAGCATGTCATAAACACAGAACAAACTAACAGGCATGTTAATCTCACAGAAACAAACCATAGACTGGTGTTTACAGGGGCTGAGAACTCCTGGGTGTGTATGAGGCTCTGCCCAAAGAATTTAATACTTTGTTTAGATGTGACAAATAACTTCTGGGGACCTGTTATACAACATCATGAGATAGTTAATAACATATTTCCACAAGAGCAAGTTTACATAACCTTATCACACAGAAGGAAATCTATGATGTATTCATTAGATTGAGGTAGCCATTACATAAAATATTCATGTGGTACTGTAAGACCCTCAGGATGAGGAGTCTTCCAGGTTCGGTCGATACCCCAAGAACTCAATGTCCAGTCCAGTTGCTGCAAAACACAAGAGGCTTTAATGAAGAGGAAACGTTTGTGCAAACGGGCTCCTCCAGCACACAGGCTAGGGAGAAGCCCCCTCCCCTGGGCCCAGGTGTTTTTAAAGGCAACCCCACAAGCTTAGGGAGGGAATGGGAACCTCTGTCCATTGAGTACATGACCCTTGGAGGCCAGATGGTCTGCTATTAGGGTCAGCAGACCTTAGGGCCTCAGATGTGCTAATTAATCTTGTCTGGGCAAACCAGAGTTACAGCTATCTCTTGACCCTATTTACCACCTGTTAACTCACAGGAAAGTAGGGGCAGTGTGAATTCTTCTTATCTCAGGGCCTTGTGAGAGGAAGCTAGCAAATTCCAAGGAACAGATATTGGTTTCTAGGTTAGTCCATCATTAACATTACTTTTTAGGTCTTTCATTCCCCCCTTTTTCTCTTGTCAATAGTTTTAATCTTATAACTATGGAATTAAGAAGCAGCCTCCTCTTGGCTCCGGAGGCTCCTGTACTGCTATCTAAGCACCATAATCTGGGCAGCACTCGTAACAAAAGTCATAACAAAAGTAACAATTTTTCCAATAGTAAGCAACAAGAGAGAAATAGAAATGGGCAGTTCTAAGAGGCTGTCCCTGGGTCCTATAACTTGGAGTGGCGTGGGGGTGGGTCCAGAGGAGGAGGACCGAGTCTCAAAGTTTCTGTGCGGTGACATCTAATGTAATCTAGATCTCCAACTTGGAAGTGATGTAAAACTTCCAAGTCTCCCGCTGCGTAGGTCTCTCAGAGTTGCTTCCACGCTCGCTCTCACCCTCTCGAGCACCTTAAGCCTAGCAAACAGAGGCTTAAGAAAACAGCACATCAGCACTATGTACAGAGGTAATTTCCACCAGTGGAGGGCCCCCACAGAGCCATTTATAGGGGTTCAACCTAAAGGTCCAGGGGTGTTTCTAACCCTGAAAAGCATAAAGGATAGGAGAGCTATCTGATCATTAATGCCAGTCTCTGCGGTCAATTTAGTGAAGGTCTCCTCAATGGGTTTATTTATGCTTTCTACCTGAGCTTTGGGGTCTGTATGCACAATGCAATTTTAATCAATCCCCAATATCTTGGCTAGTGACTGATTTACCTGGGCAACAAAAAGCTGGACCATTGTCTGATTTTACTACCTTAGGTATTTTAAATCTTCGGAAAATTTTCTTTCTACAGTAATTTTTTTTTTTTTTACCCACACGGTTGAGACAGTCCCAAGCACATGAACAGATGAAAAAGCATACCTGTTGCCTGTTAATGTTTATGGGCTTCTCTTCATCTAGCAGTACCACCGCCCCAGCCCTTTTTTTACCTTTTACAATGTAACCGCTCCCAGCAGTGAACTGGTCAACATCTCCCCAGCCAGCAGGATGTCCTTAAGATCTTTGCAAACTCCAGTCTCTTTAACCAACAATTGATGGCAGTCAGGAGTCCTTGTTCACCAGTTTCCTCAGGCAGAAGAGTGGCGGGATGAGGCTGGCTGGTGGAGCGAACACAATCCGCTCAGTCTCTCAGTGAGAAGCAGGCTTTGGTGGTGAGTCACGCGGGTGTTGGTCATCATCAGTCGGCAGCTGCGGGACAATGCTCTCCAATGCATGGGGGCTATTATAGTTGCTTTATGCCCCAAAGTCAACTTGTCAGCAGCGATAGCTTTTAGACAGCCAGGCCCTCCCCTGGCCACAGGATCAAGCTTCTTTGGCAGATAAGCAACTGGTCTGTTCCACGGCCCTAGGGATTTGGTCAAAACTCCCCAGGCGACCCCCTTACGCTTGTCCACATAAAGAGTAAAAAGTTAGTTACATCAAAAGGCTTAGAGCCGGTGTTTTCAACTGGGCCTTCTTAATGGCATCAAATGTCTCCTGATGTTCTGGGGTTCAGGAGAATTTTTCCTTAGTCAGCCTATAAAACCCAGATGTCCCCAGAAATTCTCTTACTTGCCTGGCCATTGTTGGGGAATTTTAAACCCTTAGGACAGTCGGGTCCAGATGAGCTGCCCAGTTCTGCACGTGTCAGAGTCCGTCCATTTAAAGGCAAAAAGCAGTTGGCTGGTGGGATGTAACCTCGAACAAGTGGGGTACCCGGCCCACGCCAAGGTCCACTGTTCTTCGGGTAGTCCATGAATTACCTTGGGCTCGGGGAGGGAGGTCCAAACCCCATCTCCCTTTAATTTTATCCTTTCTTAGGGCTAGGACCTTCGATACCTTGTCTTCTTGGGACAGTCATTTGCCAAGTGTCCTTTTGCTTTACAATATGCACACTGGTCCTCCTGGTCAAGTGGGGTCCTGTTGCCCAGGTTCCCTAGCCTGTTTTAAATTTTCTAACTTTTTGTCTCTCTCTCTCTCTATTTTTTCCTTTAACCACTGCGGCCAAGATATTTTAGTCAAATTCTTTTCCTGTCTTCTGTCATGCTTTTTCTCTGCTCTCTGTCTCTCTACTGTCTTTTCTCTCCTTCTCTTCTCTGTCCCTTTCATACACTTTCTCTATCTCTTAACCCTTCCAGTCTCTGGAGTTTCTTTCTAATATCTGTGGCCCAATTTCCCCATGAAGACCAGAGCCATCGCTCTCTGGGCTTCTGAAGTAGAGTCAAAAAGTGCTCTCTTTACCTTAGCCAAATTGGTGGGCTGTCTCGTGGCACCTCGGAGACCTGCCACCAGAGCCTGGCGATAGATTTTTAAGCTCTCCCTACCTTTAGCAGTGTTGAAGTTCCAACTGGGGCGAGTCAAAAGGAATCCCAAGTCAATCTTGTTTTTTTTTTGTTTTTTTGTTTTTTTTTTGTTTTTTTTTTAGCTGCGCTGGTCGCCCATCAGCTCCAGGGATATTTTTCTATCCTCGAGCAGAAACTGTTGATAATCATCTCAAATAGCCTAGAGAGAGAACATAAGGAACTCCAAAAAGGGGGTGGTTAGTTTTCCAATTACAAAGATCTGGGGAGAAGGGTCAGCCCTAGAGGCTGATGTTGGGAACCGAACATGTGCGGTGGCAGGGTCATAAGTCATAACCCTGTCCCTCCATTCCGGCATGGCTCTGCCCAGGCCGTGCCCGGCCCATGGCTGTTCAGCCATTCTGCTGAAGCTCAGCCCCAGCGGCTCTGGCTGC